CTCCACAAATACCATTTTTATTTTAAAAAAAATATTTAAGGGGGATGTCCGGTATTACAATTTGACTACAGTAGCCTCCTCCCATTGTTCAGAATTTGGGTTTTCAATATATATATATATATATATATATATATATATATATATATATATATATATATATATATATATGCACACACATAAGGTGCAAATGACGCAAAAATTAAAAATAACAGTAACATCTCATTTTTAAAGACATATTTACTAAAGTTGCACAAAAAATATCTTAAAATTCTAAATAATAAATTTATTCAATAAAATCACCACTGCCTTCAAGAGATAAGAGAGATAAATTTCTCCCAATTATTCTCTCTTTCTTTCTCTCTCTCTCTCTCTCTCTCTCTCTCTATATATATATATATATATATATATATATATATATATATATATATATATATATATATAATATATATATAAAATGAAAATGACAGTGAAATCTAACATTTTTACAGACATATTTACTAAAGTTGCACAAAAATATCTTAAAATTCTAAATAATAAATTTATTCAATAAAATCACCCTGCCTTCAAGAGATAAGAGAGATACATTTTAATTCTCTCTCTCTCTCTCTCTCTCTATATATATATATATATATATATATATATATATATATATATAAGGTGTAAATGATGCAAAAATGAAAATAACAGTGACATCTCATTTTTACAGACATATTTACTAAAGTTGCACAAAAATATCTTAAATTTATTCATTAAAATCTCCATTGCCTTCAACCACGGCCTCCAGGCTAATTCCATTTTTGATGTTAAAAGCAGTTTTGTTGTTTGTAAGGGGTGACGAAATTGTCTGACTGCTATAACTGCGTTTTCTTGCTTATGTGGTATGGTGCTGAGACATAAAGTCTTCCAACAGCTAGCCTATTGATCCAGGACAGCACTACCTCCACAAAGCATCTGATGTAAGCCTCCGTGTTAAGTCTTAAGTCATGTGGGAAGATGAATGAACGTATAACATTGCAATCATTAGTGATCACTCCAAACACTATGATGTTAACTGGATATATCATCCAACTCTTTGCAAATCCTCTGCACTGCCTTTAGATCGATAGACAAACACTACAAAGTGTTCGTATTAGAGCTTCCACTGCAAATACCAATAAGTACGGCATGCCGTTTCCAACTTTCTGGCGGAGTGAATTGCATCATGAGGCTTCTTTTCTCACAGACGTTGCCCAACTGACCCCGCTATATTGTGTAACCGATAAAACCAAAAACAAAGTGCATGCGCTAAATTGAAAAAATATAAAATGTCGATAATTTACCCACTGCACCCTGTATTTAACGATAGTTCCATTCCAGAGGGATGCAGGTTCAAATCATGCTAGAGAACTTTTTTTTCTTTTCGAATATTCAGCACGGTAGACAAAAATAAATATACTCTTTAATAATTACACGGACCGTCTACTCATATTTACACGACCGTCTATATATAAATACGAATATATATAAAATATAACATTTAAAGAGATTATTATATATATATATATATATATATATATATATATATATATATATATATATATATATATATATATAAATCTTGTCCCGGTTAAATAACAGAATAGACTACGATAAGCAATCTAAACATTGAACGAATAAATAGCTTTAATTATCTTCCCAGACCAAGACTAACTATTAAATAAGCGATCAAAGCAAATCCTCCCCATTTTTTTACTAAGTTAATAAAACATCAAAAGCCGAAAAGAATAAATAATACAAAATGAAAATGAAAAACAAATAAATTAACCCAAACAAATAAATAAATAAACAAGCCACTCCTGCAAAAATAACAGCCAGAATAGATTACCCACAATGCGCCACTGATCTATATATATGAATAGTGGAGGAAAAATCCAACATCCGCGTCCTGACGATGGCGCCTAGCATGAAACAGTCTGTCACATCTGAGCGTTGACTTCAATATTCACTTTTATATTTATATTTACAGACGCTCTATCTCTGATATTGAGCACTTTATCGCATAAATATAACATACATTAAAACTATATTTCTTCATATATATATATATATATATATATATATATATATATATATATATATATATAAGAATTGAATCAGACCAAGAAACAATAGTATTAAAAATTGCTCTCTCTCTCTCTCCCTATATATATATATATATATATATATATATATATATATTATATATATATAATTTGTGTGTGTGCGTGTGTGTGTGTGTGTGTCTGTATACATCATCCTTCACTTGCTGGTTAAAAACTTTCGAAAATCGGATTTAAAACGTCGTCTCGTCTTTCCACGTGATTTCACATTAACTGATCAAAATCCAGACGTTTTTGTCTGGTTAGTTAATTCAAATAATATTTATCAATATTGATTAAACGATTTTTTTTTCTCTGTAAATGACTGACTGGCCGCCATGATGTGGAAAATTCCTGAACGTAAGTGGTATACCTAAATAAAAAAAAATGTATTTCCTATGAGACTGGGAAGTGCAGTTTTTTATGGCTAGTTTGACCTCGACATACCTCACTAAACCTGAAATATCAGCATCGGAAAGAAAGAAGAAATATGTTCCTGGCTTAGAGGATGAATCATTTGTTCAATGGTATTTTCGTATTGCGAAATGTAAGTAAATCGCTTGCCAGGCCAGTGAAATTGAAAGACAAATGTACGCCTGAAATATACATCTGATATTAGGATCATCTTTTAATATATATATATATATATATATATATATATATATATATATATATATATATATATATATATATATATATATATATTCAATATTGTAATCAGTTTCAATCAGCACCTGACGAGTGTGTGTGCGTGTGTATACTAAGAATAATGAATATTTGAATTATCTATCTATATATATATATATATATATATATATATATATATATATGTGTGTGTGTGTGTGTGTGTGTGTGTGTGTGTGTATATACTAAGAATAATAAATGTTTGAATTATCCTTAGTGTAAAATATCATTTTTTATTTTACATCGAATAATGTTTTATTATCAGGTAGATGTTTTATATATATATATATATATATATATATATATATATATATATATATATATATATGTGTGTGTGTGTGAGTTGTGTGTGTGTACGTGTGTGTGTATCTGTGTGTGTGTGTGTGTCTGTGTGTGTGTTTAAGTATCACGTTTTGGGGAGTTTACTATTATTTGAAAAACTAAGGCTTGTAAGCACAGTAAAATATAATTTTCTCTCAAAAGACAAACTCACAAGATAAAAACTATACAAAATTACATATATATATATATATATATATATATATATATATATAATATATATGATTAGTGTATAGGGAATGAATTCAATAACCAACAATTACTATTCTTAAAAGAGTGCTCAATACATGGCTTCGTTTTCAAGCTTTTTGAATTTTCCTATACTTGTATTTTGATTGGTCAATCTAGCTTTTGTAACAACGTTTTCCTCTTGTGAAGGATTGTTAATTTGAAACTTTTAAAACCATTTATTTTACACTCAACATCACTTGATAAGACACCGAGGGTGTTGAAACAAAATGGCTATTTTTTTGTAGTGATTTTATAACATATTTATGTTATAATTTTTTTAAAATTAATTATATATATATATATATATATATATATATATATATATATATATATATATATATATAGTATACATTACTGCAGTCCCGGAAAATTAAATTTCGTTTTCTTTTAAGAAATTTTAAACTCATAAATGAAAGAGAGAAGAATGGAGTAACGATAAAGACATTATTTATGTTTTTTTTAGCACAAGGAAAAGCCCGACATGCTAGCTACTAAATCAATGTCAAAATCAATCAACTGTAGTGATGTAACTATTTTGCATTTTGATAACGGATGACGAATATATAAGGCAAATCTGAAGGTAAATTAGAATCGCTAATGATACCTTCTAGAAGCTAAACAACGTATTAAGAAACAGGAAAAATAGTTACAAACAAAACTGTGCTAAACGGGTATATTATATCTGTATAAAAGTGAATGCTGGACAATCTCTTCATAGATGAAGTATTAGAAATGTGGTTCTACAGTAAGATGCTGAGAATATCATGCAATGAACACGTGGGCAATAAAGAATTTTTTTTAAATAAATGTGGATCTCTCCGTCTGTATAGTAGAGATTGCTAGAAAATTCCCCCAAAGATGAAGGAGATACTTCAAGCAACAGAAATGTGGTTCTACAGAAGGATACTGAGGATAATATCAACGTAACATGTGAACAACAACAAGGTTTTGGAGAGAATGGAAAGAGAAAGGAAACTTCTACTTAACATCTGGAAGAGGCAGTTGAAATTTCTGGGATACATAATGAGGAAGGAGGGTTTGGAAAATCTGATACTCACAGGACAGACTGAGGGACAGAGGAAAGCAGCTTCAGAAAATGGATGGCAAAACAGGGTTTGGGCAGAAATAACAAAAAGACAAAACTTATTAAGAACTACAAAGGACAGGATGATGTAGAGGGCCATGTTCACTTCCCTTCTGAAGAAGTCAAAGGCTCATTTATACTTAGTAACAAGAGTTTGACATTTGAAATTACTAAGACATATAATAAGAAAGGAAGGTTTGGAAAATTTGACACGCGGAGTACATATTGAATGCAATAGAGTCAGATGGATGTAGGGAATGAACTACCTGACGAACTTTTGTAAATTGATGTCAGAACAGGGACTGATCGGGGTAGACCAGGATAGACAGAGGTTGCTTAGAGCTATGAAAGATGGCGATTTGGAGAGCGATGATTACCGTGAATAAGATCCGTTAATAATATGAATAAGGTTGGTGCCTTATTTATCAACGAAATTATCTACTTGTAGACCAATCATGTATTTCTGTGTCAAACCCTAAAGAAAGACCAAATCAAAACCTTTCAAGCATTCTTAAACATATCGTGATTCCATATGCTTACAGACACATCAGGTTGAAACACTGGTTCTCATACGATCACCTAAGTTAAGCAACATCCAGCCTGGTCATTACCGAGATGCGTGACAGCGTGGGAATACCAGATGCTGTAGGCTTGAATGTGCGGGTGGTTTAACGGATAACGGCTCGAAATTTTTAATCTGAGTTCCAATTCGAGTCGGGCTCTTTATATTAACTTACACGCAAATACACTTAGGAAACGTATGAATCCACTCCTTCCTCCACCCAAATACGGATCATTTAGTAAGATCTATATTAGTAAATCATTATTGTCTCTTGTGATGTCAACGAATACTCATCGTCACTTTCGTAATGCTCGTTGTCATAGAGACTTTGTAATCGCAGATACAACAATAGTACCCCGTTGATCAATGCTTGTCAGACGCCTTCGAATAATCTCGCACTAATAGTACTTGCTCGATAATAGTCGCTCCAAAAGTAATCCGTATAGCGATCCGAATAGAGAAATAGTATAGTGAATAGAGTAGTGAATAGCGATTCAAATAGTAATAGAGGATAGACTAGAAATAGCGATCGTTTAGGCGTCACGCTGATTTGTAGATATATGCGTTTCCTCTATGGTCACGTGGTCTACTTAATTCAATCTTGGGACTGCCTGTGTTTGCTCACACTTTTTTCTATATAACAATATCCAAAAAATATTATTTCTGACTGGTAATAAGTGTAAGTTTATTTTTCGCTTCACTTTCTCTTAAATCTTCCTCACTATTCACATGTTCTGTCCATGATATTATCAGTCCCTTATTACCAGAAAGAGTAGCTGCCATTAAAATCAAATTACGATGAAAAATATGACAGTAAAAATATATATATTGATTTGTTTTTACGGTTTATCAAACTTTCGCGGTTTTTTAAAGTCAAAAATTATTTTTAAATTATAAGAATTTTTTGGAGATTGTTATATCGGAATAAATTTTCGCTGCCAACACTTGAATTTGAACATGAATATTTAAGTGAGCGAAAATGGACGGGGATATCATCCTTTTTTACCTCATATACTCAATTCATTTTTGGCGCTGCTATACTATGAGGTTAATTTGCAGTGTAAGACCCACGCTCAGTTCGCATTCAAAATTTCCAAAATACTTACATTTATGTATAATTGTAAATGCTCCATTCGAATCTGGCTGCATAAATTTGATAAATTTTGGAGTTATCGACAGTGAAATTTGGGATTCAATCGCGTCGGTGGCAGCAGTCATTACTCGCGTTGTCTGCATTCATTCTTTGCCTATAGCCAAACGCGGAAGACTACGGAAAGCTAAGCTCAAAACTGATCTTTCTTGCCTAAATTTGTCTCAATTACTTCGCACGAGAACTATTTACGTACACACGCTCATTTTCAAGAAAGATTCGAATGGATCATGTACAATTACACATAAATTTAAGTAGTCTAGAAAATTTTAATGCGAACTAAGTGCGGGTATTACACTTCAAATTAAACTAGTATGATACCTCCGTTCATTTTTTCGAATATTGTATGATATTTACCAACAGTTGGAAGTATGAAATATGTTAGGATTAGAGGTAAGGGTTAGGGTTAGTAGTTAGAGTTAGGGGTTAAAGGTAGAGGTTAGTGTTAGGTTTAGGGATTAAAGTTAGGGGTTAAGTTTAGGGCTAGAGGTTAGGTTTAGAGGTTAGGGTTAGAGTTTATGGTCAGGGATAGGGGTTAGGTTTAGGGTTAAGATTAGGGTTAAAGGCAAGTAAACTGGTTATCTATTAAAAATCATTAGCAATTGTTAATACAATTTTTTTTAAAAAATCAATGATTTTAATGTTTGTAAACTGATTTGAAGTCATTTAAAAAACAGTAAACATGTCATTGTTTTTCCTGATCATTTTCCAGTAATAATGAGTTCGTCTTGGGAGATATCATACTATAGTAGCATCCATTTTTTTACAATGATCTTGACACTATACAATCTTAGAAAGGTAACAGACTTAGACTTAATCAGGTTATGACTTTGGGTAACCGGGGAAGTATCGCTCCCACAAGACAGTTGTTCGTAGGAAGAAACTGCTCGAGTGGAACTTACATCTCACTAATGGAATAGGAAGGTAATGAAGGTGGTTCTCTACAATGCGCGTAGCATGGCGGATCCTAGCGGCAGAGGTTAGAACTGGTGGAACTAAGGAATATAGTTCATCTAAGCACTTTCTATGGAAGTAGCAACCGAGAGGTAAGATGCTTGCGACATTTCCTCTGTGAGAGAGAGAGGTGGAGTGATGGAAAATAATTCATCACCCACAAGGATGCAGAAACGATTTGAACACTTTCGAGACTGGAATGAGAGTACTGGGCGTCTCCTTCACATATATGGCATTAGTATTCCACATTCGACTTGGCTCTTGTAAACGTAGTGGAGAGTCAAATACTTACTGGACTGGTACGAAAGATCAAAAAAGGATGAGCCTAGGGACAGGGATCTGTTAAACCAGCTTTATATAAACGCTATTCCTCGTCGACAACAAGCAGTTTGGCTCAGCAGCTCGACCCTGACATAAGAAAGTCCACACACCTCATCGATTTCAACTTATATCGATAAGCTCAATCCCCCGCAAGGAGACCCAAATCTTAGTACGACGCGGCTTCAGTTATCCAATGCAGGCCTCTTTATAGTTCATGAAATACATATAAACAATTGTATCAGCCTTTCACACAACTATGTATGTATCTTGAGAATTGATCAATACACGCTGTTCAAAAATTTAATGCTTGTTTGTTCTTTTCTTTACTTTTCTTCGGTATAACAGAGATAGATAGATAGATAGATAGATAGATAGATAGATAGGGATCAGAGATAGATAGTGTTGGGGCGCACCCACCTTCTCATCAGAATGGACTGATCTCTCTACTACTAATAGGACAGTTCTATAGAGTTCTGGGGAGATCAGGTGCCCATCACACTTCTGACTTTATACTTTTTCTGATTGTATATCTAATATTCGTGCTAAGCTTAGTGTCTAAAAAAGATAGCGAAATGCGAAGACGCATTTTAGCAAAGCTAGAAAATGAGCAAAACACGACACTACAAAAGCTAGCCGAGTACTGTCAGCAATGCGTAAGCATTAAGCAAGATTCAGATAAAATAGAAGAAACTGCTACCGCAAATGTGAAGAAAGTAAATAGGAAGACTCGTTTCAGTTCTCCATCGCCTGAATGGAAATGGTATCCTACTACAAGAATAAACAGAGACTATAAAAAAACTCCCTCCGAGTGCATGTTACGGATGCGGCCTGTGGCATTGGTACAATGATTACCCATATAAAAATAAAGCTTGCAGAAATTGCAAGAAAGTAGAGGATACGGTAATCGCATCCCTCAGAGCAGAGGACGAGGTTGAAAAAAATTTGGCGAACACAATTCGAGAATTACCAGTATCGCTTAAGGACATCAAAAAAGAGGCAGAAAAGGACAAATATATTATGGAAATAAAAGACAAGCTAGCTAAAAAAGACGAAAAAATTCAAAAGACATTCGCTCTGTGTGATAATGTGCTAATATACAGTGAAAGGGTAGTAATCCCTAGCACACTCCAAAAAAGAATACTAAAAGATTTTCATGCTGGTCACCCGGGCATAAATAGAAGGAAGAGCCTCATGAGAGCATACGTCTACTGGCCAGGTATGGACAACGACATCGCGTCTGCATTTTGGCATCAAAATCACCACAAATTCTACAGAAGCCATGGCCAAAAACCGACAGGCCATGGTCAAGGATTCATATTGATTTTGCGGGTTCAATTGACGGGTGGTATTATTTGGTCGTAGTTGACAGCTTTAGTAAATGGTCCGAAGTTTTCCAAATGAAGAGGCCAACATCACAAAATACAATAAATAAATTGCATGAATTATTTGCAAGGTTTGGAGTGGTAGATACTGTACTTAGTGACAACGGTACTCAATTCACAAGCAAAGAATTCGCAGAATTCTGCCAGAATTTTCAAGTGGATCACGTGAGGATTCCTCCGTATCACCCACGCAGCAACGGACTAGCCGAAAGGTTTGTCGATACGCTAAAAAGGGCTCTTAGAAAAGCAACGGGTACCCCGACTAGAAAGACGTTACAGCTATTCCTGCAAGTATACCGCATTACTCCGAATATATCTGCCCCATCAAGCCTATCACCTGCGGAGCTAATCTTTGCAAGGAAGATCAGATCTGCATTTGATAAATTGATACCTGAAAATAAAACAGACACACACACCAGTCGCTATGGTTCCTAAACAAAAATTCCACACAAATGAAAAAGTTTTTTTTCAAGAATTATAAAAATAATACGACATCGTGGGAACCAGGAGTCATACAAAAGCGGATTGGGAATATGGTGTACATTGTAAAAGGGAAAAATACCCATAAAAGGCACATCAACCAGCTAAAGAAAAGGGGTACTGAAAAATCGGAAGAAACTCCGCAAGTCGAAGACGAATTATACGAATTATATGATACTTTTGAATTACAAGTATCACAGACAGAGCAAAAACGTCGCAGATCTGGTAGAAAGCGAAAAGTGACGCAACAATTTATGATGGACCAAAAAAGGAAAAAATATTGAAAAAAATTTTTTTTTTCTTCACCATGAAAAAAACAATTTTAGGGGGGTGTTGGGGCGCACCCACCTTCTCATCAGAATGGACTGATCTCTCTACTACTAAGAGGACAGTTCTGGGAAGATCAGGTGACCATCACACTTCCGTCTCTCTACCAGAAGATACGTTTGGACTTTATACTCTTTCTGATTGTTACTGACTAACCTGCGTTCGTTTGACTACTAATCTCTCTGTTGTAAATACCTCTTCAGATATACCAGTATTTTCCCTACGTATAGGTTTGTCCTTTCAATACACGCGCGCGGAAACACTCAACATCTCAACAGATAGATAGATAGATAGATAGATAGATAATGATCAGACATTGTAGATAGATAAGGATCAGAGATAGATAAATAGAGAGAGAGAGAGAGAGAGAGAGAGAGAGTGAGAGAGATCTCAGCTATGTACACGATTAGAATAAAAACATGGCAGCAAGGAATCTATTTATGACCTGTTACCCGCTCCTAGTAATTGAAGTAACTCTTAGAAGCAGAAAGTTTTTCAGACATCCATTATACTGCTGACAAATAAATTTATTGTTTGTCCCGTGTTTCCATGACTTATATTTTTATACTTTCGCATGACTGGTTAGTCAAGACGTGTTTTTACATTACTTACGACACAAGGTACAAATCAAATCAGACTGTTGACGTTAACATTAATATTCGAGCTGATGTCTTTGAACCTGACTCCTCATGTCAAGATTCATTCAAGCTTGGAAGAAGTAGACACAACACTTTTCACAAACGAATTGTTACAGTTTAGTCAGTACAAGTTCTCTTTCTGTAGCCGCCATACATACATGTTTAAATCATTTCACCACAAGCAAGGCAATAAAGCAACTAAGATGTGAGCGCTTACTGAATATAAAGGAATATAGGAAACAGAAAACGTTATTAAGAAGAGGGGATAATAAAAGAACAGGAATTAAGAGTGGACTTAACGATTGACATTACATTTAAATATTTGCAGTTGAAGATAAAATTTGACTGGAAATCAAGAGGCCGAGAAATTCATATATACATGTACATAATTCTATCGGGATACTTGTTTTGCAAAAAGCCCATATCTACAACGGACAGATTTAAAATTCTAATATAATTACACTAGAGCGCGTTCATGCGGGTACTTAAAAAATCACCATAACAGCGACCCCAGTTACAATAAGTTTGACTTTGTAATTCATCCCTGAAAGAAATCGAAAGTACTTGGGTGGGAAAAAACTATTCTTTGATGAATTTCCTCTTAACATCAAGGAACTGATTAAAGAAGAAGGGGTTATTATAAAAATTAACAGACATAATATGTCGATATTATTCAATGAAACATGTTTGAACTAATCGACGAAAGGCGAAACTCCTGCACGATGACAGTAATATCTAAGGAAAAATCAATGAGTACGCGGTCACAAAGATTTAAAATCGAAACCAAGAAATTATTAAAACATGAAGAGAGTTTTGGGCTAAAAAACATAGAACAACACCCGAAAACACGGACACTTTAAAGATTAGCAGAAAGACATAAATCAGACATCCCAATGGGACGAATTATATCAATAATAGACAGCTCTAACCGAAACTAGCCGGTATACTAACGGAAATTGTAACCACACTGCTTAGTACAATTAGCTTCATGCAAATAAAAGAAAACTGAGAATCGCTTAATTAAAAAAAACATAAACATCAAAAACAAATAAATTAGAGTTCAGAACAAAAAACAACTGTATACACAAATGTTCATGTAAACAAAAGTCTGCACTTAATAAATCAAACGTCATTTCAGAAATATGTTGTCCTTCTATCTTTACACACACACATATCTATATATATATATATGATTAATACTAAAGAGCCAGGAACATTACTCCGAGCGTTCACCTCAACGGATCTTCAGGGTAAGCCAGATTAACCTGAAGATGCGTTTAGGTGAAACCGAAGTAGGTTTTTCCTGGTGGCTCTTTAGGATTTATTTTATTTATCCCAACTCTACTTAGCGTATTGAGCAATCTACGTTTTAGCTTTATTACTCGCTTGGGTTTTTCGTTGGACTAAAAACTTAAGACACTGGACGATTTCGGATGTTTCCAGTTCTTTGTTGTTTTTTTTTTTATTTTTGTTGTTTTTTTACAATTTTTTTCCTGGGGTACCAATTTGTTTTGTTATACTTGCAAGTTATGCTATCCGAGATATTTTACCAAACGAGTATCAACCGAGTATATATATATATATGTGTGTGTGTGTGTGTGTGACACAAATATACGACCCGTAAAAAATAAAATTTGGTCGAGCACTTTAGAGGGAAAAGCACGAATTGTAGGGAATGTTTTTATTATAATCTCTTATAATAATAATAATATAATAATAATGATAATATATATATATATATATATATATATATATATATATATATATATATATATATATATATATATATATATATATATCATTATTATATTATTATTATAAGAGATTATATAAAAAACAATAATAATAATGATAATATATATATTATTATTATTATTATTATTATTATTATTATAAGAGATTATAATAAAACATTTTGAAATCGCTACACAAAAGCTTTTATGTTTCAATTGTTTCATTGTACTTCATCAAATGATGGTAAGTAACTAGAGAATCATCAGCAACTTACCATAACTGAAGAAGTACAGTTAAAGTGTTGCAACATGAAATCTTTGTTATAGCGATTTTAAAATGTTTTTATTATAATCTCAGAATAAAAATAACAATAATATATTGCTCTACTTTGTATTGAGCACTTTTTAAAAAGTAAATGTTACGAACAGTGGAATTTTACTCCATCTGTTCCTTCTCTCGTTTCGATGCATATATATATATATATAAGAAAAATAGACCACTTTAAGGTGCCATTATAATAATTTATTTCACCAGAGCCCTTTTAAAGGACGCCGCATCATCAGATAGCACTTTCAAAAATGAAACGGAAAATGAAATTAAAATTGATGGGTAGTGTAAGTTTTTGTAATTTAACAGAGAGTGTAAAAGGGATAGTTAAAGAGACATGGTAGAGTATAGGGAGGGGTTAATTTCATATCTCTCTCAAGTATACTTTATATTGGGGGAGGAGGATAGACCAGACCTTGACCTATTTAGATGGTTAACTTAACGGAAGTGATATATTGAAATGGGAGGGGAGTAGGGAGAAAAGGAAAAAGAAAGAAGAGAGAGAGGGAAGTAAAGAGAAAGAGGCTGTAATTGGGTTTTAGCAATTTATGTAAAGAATAGATTTTAATGTATGATAGAAATTTAAATGTGACCTTATATCCTTCCATTCGAATACATTCTATACACACACACACACACACACACATATATATATATATATACATACATAAACATACACAAAACGTATACATATACATACACATACATATAAATACATATACAAATATATATACACATATATATACACCTACATACACACATACAATTATATGCATAAACAAGCATATAAAAAGAACTATACCCATAAACATCCACACATGCATATGCATTTATATTACTATGTTATACATATATTCACACATATTACAAATATTAACTCTAAAATATTTACATCTATATACACATACATACATAGATTACATGCAATTTCATATCTAAAACAATATATATATATATATATATATATACACGCACATATACATATACATACACATACATACTGTCATGTCATATACCTATTATATGGTAATGGACTCTCCCATAGACAATAAGTAGCAGTAGCAGTAGCCAGTTCGGGCTCAGCGGTATTTAGCGGTCTTTGACTGCACACGCCTCCTGTCGAACTCTCTGCGTAAAGCAAGAACAACCCGGACGAGGCTTTGCCGAAGGCAAGGTTTCGTCCAGGGAGGTGGACAGGGCCCTGAACCCGTTTAATCGGCTTCAAAGGCTATATTTTGGCCGAGCCCTACGGGCTCAGGAAAACCCACATAAAAACCGGCCTTGTGCCATATTCTTTTCCGTGGGTGAGAAGATAAATACTCAGTGGTGTTTAGCGGTCTTTTGAAATGCGCAGCCTCCTGTCGAACTCTCTGCATTAGCGAGAGAACCCAGACGGAAAGGTTTCGTCCGGGGGTATGACTGGGGCCTGAACCCGTTTAATCGGCTTCAAAAGGCTATATTTTGGCCGAGCCTACGGGCTCCGGAAAACCCAGTATAAAACCGGCCTTGTTATTCATTTCCGTGGGTGAAGGTAATACTCAGTGGTGTTTAGGGTCTTTGACTGCACACGCCTCCTGTCGAACTCTCTGCGTAAGCAGAAAGGAACTGAACGAAGCTTTGCCGAGGGCAAAGGTTTCGTCCTAGATGGGTAGGGCCTGAACCCGAGTAATCGCTTCAAAGGCTATATTTTGGCCGAGCCTAAAAACCGGCCTTGTATATTCATTTCCGTGGGTGAGAAGATAAATACTCAGTGGTGTTTAGCGGTCTTTGACTGCGCACGCCTCCTGTCGAACTCTCTGCGTTAACGAGAGGGAACCCAGACGAAGCTTTGCCGAAGGGCAAGGTTTCGTCCGGGGGAAATGGGCTGAGGCCTGAACCCGTTTAATCGGCTTCAAAGGCTATATTTTTGGCCGAGCCTACGGGCTCAGGAAAACCCATAAAAACCGGCCTTGTGCCATATCCTTTTCCGTGGGTGAGAAGATAAATACTCAGTGGTGTTTAGCGGTCTTTGACTGCGCCTCGTCCTCTCTGCGTAAGCAAGAGGAACCCAGACTTTGCCGAAGGGCCACGCTAATTTCGTCCGGGAGACAGGGGCCTGAACCCGTTTACGGCTTCAAAGGCTTTTTTTTGGCCGAACGGGCTCAAACCCATAAAAACCGGTTTGCCATATTCTTTTTCCTTGGGTGAGAAGATAAATACTCAGTGGTGTTTAAAGGTCTTTGACTGCACACGCCTCCTGTCGAACTCCCGTTTAATCCGAAGGCAAGGTTTCGTCGGACGATCTGGATAGGCCCTGAACCCGTTTTTTTGGCCGAGCTATATTTTGGCCGAGCCTACGGGCTCAAAAACCCACATAAAAACCGGCCTTGTGCCATATTCATTTTCCGTGGGTGAAGATAAATACTCAGTGGTGTTTAGCGGTCTTTGACTGCACACGCCTCCTGTCGAACTCTCTGATAGAATAAACGCATTATTCCCAGACAACGTCAGGCGTTGGCTTCAGAGGCTATTTTTTGGCCGAGACGACCCATTTTCAACCGGCCTTTGCCCATATTCTTTTCCGAAGATAAATACTCAGGGTGTTTAGCGGTCTTTGACTATATTTTTTATTTCGTCCGGGACGAATATTTCTTTGCCCGAATATAAAAAGGTTTCGTGGCGAGCCCTGAACCCGTTTAATCGGCTTCAAAAGGCTATATTTTGGCCGAGCCTACGGGCTCAGGAAAACCCACATAAAAACCGGCCTTGTGCCATATTTTTCCGTGGGTGAGAAGATAAATACTCAGTGGTGTTTAGCGGTCTTTGACTGCGCACGCCTCCTGCATCGAACTCTCTGCGGGAAACAAACGGGGCCTGAACCCGTTTAATCGGCTAAAA